GACATCGTCTCTAAATCCAGACACTCTTCAGAAGACTCAAAGGTCTCCTCAGGACTGCTCGGGACTCCATGGACCCTCGATTCCTAATACGATCAGTCATAGGACTGATTTTTAAATTCAAATTGGAAATCAATCAGTATGTAAGCTGTCACTACAGAGTGGCTAAATCTTTAAAATCACAAGAATACCGTGATTCATAGGATCCCATGAGTGCCGTGCACTTCAGGGCTGTCCAATTTGGAAAGTAGGCTCTGTTCCACTCATGATGACATTGCTCCAAATAGTTGCAGAATGTCTGCTTTAGTATTGTCCCGTACATCTTCTTCTGGATTCTGTGAATATTGGCAAACATTTGTCATCTGAAACCCAATTTGATCTTTTGGAATACTCCATATCACTCAAAACAAGTATTGTTGATGAGAGTCCATGGTTTGTCAGAGTAACCCTGCCGGCTTGCTTCATTCATATTCAAAAATAAAATGAACATGTGACTAGAAAGTATTAAAATATCCTTGTTCAACTTAATATTTTTAAATAGAAAAACAATCCAAAAGAGATCTAAAAGCAATATAATTTAGAATCCTGAAAAAAATTGTCCAAAGCAGCTACTTCAAAGATGATAGCTTTTTCATGAATATATAAATTCTAGCTGAGTTGTCCCACTTTTAAATAAGAATTTCTCATATAGGAATAATCCACCACTGCAAATCTTGACAGCTCAGTGTTTCCCATTACAAACTTAAAGAAATTCAACCAGCTCCTTATTTATTATGAAAGGTTATGACAAAAATTAATTGGATAGTTTTTTTTTCCTGTGTGAAATGCTTAAAGCCTCAAAATATATACTTAAAAAAAAAAGACACCATGATTGGGGAAGAAAAACAATTAGAGTTAGGAGACGAGGAAGAATTTCAGCAAAACCACTGCTGGGTTGAATCAAAAATATTTTTACTTATGTTTTAATTCTATTTAATAAGGGTTATTTTAAGATGGTAGTTTTAAGGGAAAATAACACAAATTATCAAAATATGCTAGAATCCAGGGCAGAACAGTTTGCCTGGGAAAATCTGACTGTATAGTGGAGACACTGAAGACTGAGAGTCAATTAAATACCCAAGGGCATCTACTCTGCTCCAAACCCCTGCACAGACTTCAACTCATTCAATCCTCAAAGCAATCTTAAGAGGTTCATGATAATTATAACTGAAAGAAACAAGATTTGTCAAGTAAAATAATTTCCCCACAGTCAAATTCTGGCAAAACTGTCTTCTGGTTCCAAAGCCAATGTCCATCCCATCATCTCCTTTTAACTCTGTGGCTAACATGGCTAACTTTCTAAGTAGGATCAATATGGGAAAGTCAAAGGACAATGGAGTTCTGATACATTAGAATGCAAGATGAATATGGCTTGGGATCGACTTTCTCCGAAAGGAAATGCTGATAGGGAAGTGACTTCCTTGATCTAAATGAAGGCTACGATTAGTCCACATGACGACGATGAGGCAGATATGAGAGAAAACGTGACTTAGTATGGATTAGTTTACTTAATATAATACTCTCAATTTCCATCTATTTTTTAATAAATAAATGTCCCACTGTTAGGACTGTTATAATTTATGGCACTTAAATTTCGACATGAATTATGATGGAGATAAACTTTCAACCATACCTGACTTACCCTACCATATTAGAGGATAACTTACATTTAATGATAATGCCATTGTATAAGTTGTCCCAATAGACACTTTTGGTATATGTAGACCAACTAAAAAATATATAACTACAAATTATGGTATACATACCCATTTCATAGTAGGAGAAAAGAATGAAATTGGCTATGGCCCACGACCTAGCCTTTGTAACATGACCTTTTAAAGTCTCAAATATCTTTCTGTGGACTCCTATTCTCTCTTGGAGAGAAAGGCAGAAGATCATATAAGTCACAGCTGCTGTTTTATGTCCAGAGGGCTTTTAAGATTGGAGCAAAGATCTTGATCAAGGACCATGTCTACCTCAGCAGTCTCCCCAGCTATCTTCAAGTTCGTCTTTGTACAACCAACAAATTCTTCACAACAAACCTTAAAATCTAGCCTCCAGAAGCAAACCACAGTTGTTAATGACTGTGCAGCCCAGTAATCCCAGGGTAGTTCAGCAAATGACTTGGTGAAAGTACTTTAGATAAATTAATGAATGCTAAATTCACTATAGATTACTATAAAATTAACATCTTCTAGGGAAATGCCTTCTCTTTTGATCTTTAAATCATCAAAAACTAGAAAGCTAAGTCTTCTTTAATGCCTCTATCATCTAATCATTTTAATAAATAACACAGGTAGGTAAATTTTTTTTACAGATGAAGAATCAAAGAGATTAATAATTTTGTTTAGGCTCACAAACCCAGTGGCACTGAGATTAGGATTTAAATAATACTGTGCCAGGTTCATAAACACCTACCATTTAAACTCTGTCTCAGACAAAAATTACTTCATCATAAACACACACACACACACACACACACACACACACACACACACACACACACACCATGGGTGTTAATATCAAAGGAAAAAAGTATCTTGGAACTCCCTACATTATGGCTCTTCCACTATAAGAATTTTTTAATTCTCAGAATTTCCTCATAAATCCACTATGAAATGGGTATGTATACAGTAATTTGTACTTATATATTTTGGAGTTGGTCCACATATACCAAAAGTGCCTATTGGGACAGTTTATACAATGGCATTATCATTAAATGTAAGTTATCCTCCAATATGGTAGGGTAAGTCAGGTATGGTTGAAAGTTTATCTCCATCATAATTCATGTCGAAATTTAAATGCCATTATAACAGTCCTAACAGTGGGACATTTATTTATTAAAAAAATAGATGGAAATTGAGAGCATTATATTAAGTAAAATAATTCATACTCAAAGTCAAGGATCACATGTTTTCTCTCATATGTAGAAGTTAAAGAGAAAAAAATATATATAAGGAGGGTGGGGAGGGAGAACTTCATGAAAACAGGAGGGAGACCAGTGGATAGAAATAGGGAATAGTGGGCAAGAAGACACTGGGGAATGAAATAGACCAAATTATGTTATGTACATGTACAAATACATAACACTGAATCCCATGGTTATCTATAATTATAATGTACCAACTGAAACGAAAAGAGGTGGGACTTTAAGAGGTGATTAGACCACACATACTCCACACTCATGGGTGGAACTGGTGCCTTTAGAAAAAGTGAGTTTGTTTTACTCTTTCCCTTTCTTGCCATTTTGCCTTCTTCCATGGGATGACACAGCAAGAAGACCCTTGCCAGATGCCAGCCCCTCAATCTTAGACTTCCCAGCCTTGAGAACCATGAGGCAATAGATTTTTGCTTGTGTATTATAAAGTACCAGTCTCAGGTATTCTATTACAGCAACGAAAACAGACTAAAGCATCTTTCCTCAAGGTACATCACTATACCTTAATACCTTTACTTATAACACAACCCAGATAGTAATACTTTACTGAAATCATCTTGAGTTCCTAAGAAAACCTTAAAATAAGCTTGAAGGTATATCTTTGTTGCAACAAATCCACCCTTTTAGATTATGTTGTGAATTGGAATTCCATTTTTCCTGTACTAATTCACACCAACTAAAAATACTCAAGCTTTTAATCTCTTTGAGTCTTAAATTATCTCTCTTCCTTCCTGTTTTACCCTCAAGTTACATGCGATTCTCTTTGCTGTATGATGTGTAATTTTCTTTCATATTTCCATAGCCTATAATGTTATTTTAAAGTATAATTGCATTGACATCATTGTCCCCTACTTAACTGTAAGTACCCTAAGAGTGCTGTTGGTACCCTATCACCTGCTTGCTCAGTCACTCAATAAGTGAACAGTTATTAATAAATGAATAAATAAACTTAATCCCAAGGTTATTTATTATAAAATAACAAGGGTTCCTAACTCCTTTTCCAACTGGAAGTAAATGCTTTATAAATGTAAACGGTTATTGATCTATTGGGCTTATCTTTTCAATCAATATTCAAAAGAAAGAGAAGTGCTGCCACATATACAGACAGACTGGAAAGTTCCCCAGAGTTACTAGGCTTTATAGCTTTGGCAGTGAGCGAATGCTTTGTCATCTCTGTGGGGGAGAAAGAAGGGGAGCAGTGATTCACCTCTCACATTACCTCTAGGGACGCACAGTTCACATAATTGCTTCAGTAGGAGGGAAGAGAGAGAAAAAACAATTCCAAAGACAGGAGCCTGGGCACAGAAGATCCACTTCTTTGGGGAATTTCTGCAACTCTTGCTTTTTATGGGCTGCTTTGTTTCGTGTCATAATATTCAAATTCACAGAGAACATTTTGCTATACAGCAAAAATTCTAGTAACCTCTAATTCATTCTCTTAAAACTCATCTATCTAAGCAGGCTACAGGGGAAAAAAAAAAAAGAATTTCATGTCTTAAAATCAGTCTAACAATAACAGTCGCAGACTCTGGCCATAACCATCCTAAGCATTCTAGCTCGCATTGTCACAAAGTAGGACAAGCAAACACACACATTCAACCAGCCAGAGCTGGGAGGGACTGGTGTACACCTGGGTATGTCTGAAAACTGGCTGAGAACTGTGTGAGCAGCAAGTTGTGAAGACTGTGTCTCCGGGGCTCCCACCTCTGCCTCACAGTGTCACCATGCCCAACCTCCGGATGGGCTCTTCATTTTGATTAGGGCTTCTGCTCCCAGGCAAGGGAAGGCCCAGCAGAATATGAGAGGTCAGATAAGAGGAAGCAAGCACAGTAGCAGGGTTGTAATTTGGGAGCCAAGTGGGACATATCTCTGTGGTCTCCATGGTGAGGGGAATTCCCAGAAAAAGCCAGCTCTGAATATGTAAATGGGGAGGCAGCGTTAATCATCCCATGCACACTGAAAGGGATCAAACCAGTACAATGTGCTTATGCCCAAAACAGATGATGTGTTCTTTTTCCCTACGCAGGATGCAAATTGCTTCTGCAAAGAGCCGACTTCATTATAAAGGACTGATACTGCCTGAGTGTAAGAGGACTATCACCAAGGGGCCATGACCTTCTGCCTGATCTGAATATCAGCTTATCTTGGTGCTGAATAATGCAGAGTTATATTTACTTTGTCATTTAAATATCATTCAATATTTAACTTGCTCTTGCCTATTCATTGTCATAAAACAAATTGGGTTTTGGATTTCTAAATGACAGCAAACATCCAAAAGTGCAAACATTCCCCAACAGTGCTGATATCAACGAGTCATCAAGTGAAAGTTTTGGATTTTGGATTTCCCAGGAAGATTATATCATTGGAAAAGAGTTGTCCTGGGTTCTGGGGCATGTTACTTCATCAACCATTGATCACCCTTAAAAGGTCTTTGCCGTATATTTTGAGGAGAGCCTCCAGGGCATTTCATTTTTGTCAAAAACTATCTTAGTAATTAGGAAATGAACTAAGTTTTAAGAATTTTTTTTCTTTTAAGAAACTTCAATCACGTTAATGGGATTTTTAAAAACCCAATAAAGACGTCATCCTGATTTAATTGCACTGGCTCTTGGTTTATTAAACACTTCATTATTTGTCTCTTTATACACCATAGGCTGATTCTCAGTGACAGTAAACATCCAAAATGAAGAACAAACTAAAAACAACCGACGTTGAAGACAAGAAGAAGACAAAGATTCCAGATGATTTAATTACAGTTCTATTTGTTTCAAATAGATGCTGTGCTACAATTTGAGTATTAATTTGACATTCCACAAATAACTTCTCTGTAGTGATGTTTATTATGGATGCCATCTTAATTCTGCCCCCTGTGTGGGCAGGGACAACTTACTGCCCCTGGATGCTAGTTTACTCAACTGTAAAGTGAAGGTGTTGGATGAGGCATCCATCCCACTCCCTTTCTGTTCCCACATTCCTTGTTTCTCTGGCTATTACACACATCACTTCTGTTAGGTAGAAATTGAACCATTTTCTCCCAAAGGTAGCATGACTTAGATATGAGCAGTCGGGAGGTCCTCAAAGCATGTGACCTTGAGCTAGCCCCTAATACTTTGAGCTCAAGGTCACATGCTTTGAGGACCTCTCAACTGCTAATATGTAAGTCATGCTACCTTCCTACAGAAATAGTCACCTGAGGAAAAGTCACATTCAAATTGATGAGTTAAGAGAATACCTAGGAATAAATAACTCAGAACTTGATTCTAATTCTATCAGCCTCAAAGATTACAAGGCAGAAATAAAAAGGGATTTTAAATTATAGCTGGCAAGACTGTTACACACTGAACTTTGAAAAGTCTAAATCATATTTGGACAAAATTACCAACATAAGTAAATTAATAATTCATCTTAGGGAAAAAAAAATCACACCAAAATATGATTTAATCACAAAGACAACCAACACCATACTTATGTTAAGAAAAACAAACATAATATATCTCCTACCCCCAGCACAGACCTTTGTATTTACAAACTTAATTATGACAATGAGATTAAGAGGTTTCAAATGCAGATGGATGCACCATACTTTGGTAGTGCAATAACAACAATTATATTTGGAAGCTTGTAAATTAAAAATGTAAAAGCCTCCTATTTGTCTTTTTAGTTTAATTAGTTGCTAAGCAAGTACCATATTGAAGGTTGTATTCATGACACAAATGATGGTTGCAAATCAGTGTTCTCTAAAGGATTCACAGCAGTTCTTTAAATGAGATGTCATAAATGCCCCCATAACGATGCATTTAATTTCAATTGAATATAATCACTTTTATATGTTAAATAGTAAAAAAAAAATGAATACAGTACCTACATGGGCCTCTAAACTGTCAATTTGGCTTTCAATCCTCACACTGGCCTCTCTTGGAGAAAAGAAAGCATCCTAAGAATGCATCAGACCAGCATACCAAGCATGACTTTTACTTCTGGTAATATAGCCACAAGTGTCTTCTCTGAAGGAAGGATAATTTATCTAAGGCAAATAAAGAATGCACAGTTAGTCCAATGAGTTTAAGACCTGCAATGATCATTTTATTGTGAATGCTAAAGCTAAAATAACTGATAGCCCAGCCTTGCAGAGGCTGGCTCACAAACTTGCCTGGGGATGGGAATGATATATTTACAAGGCCAGTGGTGAGCAGAGTTTGCCTTCCTCCCCACCTACCTCTTAGAGGAGATGGCTGTACATGACTTAAATCTCAAGTCGCACATTGTCACCACTGCCTCCACAACAGCTAATGTACCAGATTCTATCTAGGCCTTAGTTCTTGCCCTCAAAGTAGTTTATAAAGTGTTCCACTTTTTAAAAACTAACCAGTGCTAATGTGGCCAACCCACTGCTACGTGCTTTATATGATCTTAAAACAACCTCCAGATTTATTTATTCCTAGCTATATTTGAAAAATGAAGAAATTTGGGTTTCGACGAAGGATCCTACAACCAGTATATTAAGGAACCTGTGTTTGAAATGAGTCAGCTTGACTCCATAGCCCACACCCCTTCCACACTCCGTCCCAACATCTGTGTGATATGGAATGGCTTCCGCATTCGGCCTCATACTGTCAATCTGTACCTGAACACTAAGGAGTGCGAACCACACGCTCACCTTGATTGGGGGAGTGTGTTGTGCACCAATGTACAAGACATTTAGAGCCACATGTACATAGCAAAATGGTGGGTTCTCTTTCACAAGAGGCAGGAAACTCTTGAAGAAGAAGCCAGCCTCTACTTTTTCACCCTTCCTTTGACATGTCTACTGCAGTGCCTGCCTCTCCACAGCCCAACCTGCCCAGAGGAAGCGTCTCTTCCCACTGCCTCCATTTTCTCATTTCTCAACTCCGAGCAATCTGCGCTTCACCTCCGCAGGCTGAACTCATCTTCTAATTACGAAAACTAACGGAAACACCTTGTTTGGCCTCTGTAGAGGTTGGCCCTAATGACCATTCCTTCCTCATGGAACATTCCTCTGGTTTCTGATTATTTTCCTTCCTCTCTAGTTGCCCATTCTTGGTTTTCCTAAAAGTCTTCTTCTCTGTCTACCCCCAACATGCTACAGGCATCAGGGTTTAGTTTGCAAACTTTGTTTATATGTATATACTTACCCTGAGTGATAAGGTCTAAATGCTGAGAATGCCTTTTGGAAGAATGTTCTCCATGGATGTTTCATATTCTTTCATATCTTTTGAAGTAAGTTACTAAATTCCTATTGTCTGACACCAACATTTTACCAAAGAATAAGTTTGGGAAATAGATACCATTACTTTTCTTGGATTAAAAGTGCACATTTACCTACAGGCTAAGGATATACAAGGCCCCCCTTCTGCACAAAAGTAGCCATGCTTATTCCCATTATAAAATATTCAGGTCCCTGAACTCAGGTTTCCACTCCTGTATACAACCCCATTGAACATATAGGTGCCATCTGGCATCCTTTAGGGCACCCCATGATGATGCTCTGGCTGCTGCTACTGTAAGTAATAAACTAGGAGTTTCATGTTTTCTATTATTATTTACAATCCATGAAGTTGTAGCAGACTGACTTGATAATTTGAAAGTAGAATACAATATCAGAACATTTCCAAGACTAAACAAAACCAATGACAATATCATAGAATAGATGAGTGGAAAGGAAGAAGGAACAAAAGAATATATACAAGAGAAAAAGAGGGAAGGAAGGAAAGAATGAATTCCAGCAGACAGAAATTTAAAAAATGAGGGGTGGGGGAGGAAGAGAGAGAGGGTAGAAAGAAGTAGGCAGTAGGGCCATCTTTGGGGAATGTACCATATTGATTTAGGTTTATCAGGTCCCACTCCTAGAGGTTAGATTAGTAACTTCCTTCAAAACACATAAACTGTATGGGAAAGGGATGATCACCTGAAATAAAATTTGAGTATTATTTTGAAGGAAGGAAGGGAGAAATAATGCTGCATAGATAATTGAATGGTGGTGTAATCCAAATACACACCCCTGACCCCTCTTGTATTTTGTCACTCCATGGACATCTCTACCTGGCTGTCCCACAGACACTGGGAAGTCAGCATGCTTGTTTTTGTTATCTTCCTTTTTCTTTTGAGTTATCTGCTTCAGTGAATGGCATAATTACCTCTAGAGTCAATCAACCCCAAAATACAAAAAGTCATCCTAATGTCCTCCTTACCTCCTACCTCCACATCTAATCAATTACTGACTCCATTTGGTTCAATTTCTAAGTGACTCTGTGAAATGTCCTCTTTTCTTTTATCATCAGAATTTCCTTGATTCAAGCCATCATTGTTCTTCTCTTGGTTACCACAGGGTCATCCTAACTGGTATTCCTGCTTTCAGTTTTGTCTGCCTCTAAATTAGTATGCAGTGTCCACATCACTGGTAGATTTGTTTTGAAAAATAAAAACGTTTATTTGACTGAATTGTATTTTAAGTACTCGCAGGCCATCAGATAAAGTCAAGCTCCTTCACGTACACCTTTCTGACCTACCCTTGACACCATTTCCATACCAACCATTCTACACAAAAGTTTTACCATTCTCACTCATTCCAACTTGGTTCAGGTTCTTCTCTCTGTCTGAAATGTTATCCACTCAAAAAGGTCTGCGTAATTCCCACTTGTATAGACTCAACAGTGAATTTCAGCTCCAAGGAGCACTTCATTCTCTGATTCCAGCTAAGATTGAGCTAAGGGATTTATTTTCTGTACCTTTGCTGTCTAAACCTATAGCTCCAGCATGGGCTGCTATTGTAACACTTGACGTCACTGTTTTGTCATCAGTGACTTTCTGTTCTAAATTTGTATCTTTTAATAGGCTATGAGATCCTTGGTGGTAGGAATCCATCTTGAGAACTTATCATCTATCATATAACTGACCCTGAATGGAGACTCGTTGTCACTGAACACTGAATGAATCATTTACCACAAATGCAGAGTTGATATTTAGTTTTTCAGTATAGATATCCTGGCTATCCACAATGCCTGCATTATGCGGATTGCTAAATATTTTGAGTTTCACTTCCGAGTGCATGGATATTATCTCTGTAGATGTTGCTTGACATGTAGGATGGTTAATGCTGCATATTAACAACTTATATGAATACTAAGTTTTAATGATTGGTTCTTGATAATGACAAATACATGAGGGCTGAGGTGATTCTAATGTAGTCAGAATTGCCCTCCATTGCTCCAACTACAACAATGAGCTCAAGTTTGCTAACTGGGTTAATTAAACTTTTTTTAACATAAATAGGCAAAATGGTTGATCAACCTGCCCAGCAGATTCTCTTGGGAGCTCAGAAACACCATTATTGCCATCTGAATACTGACCATCATTCAGTTCTTTAAGAAAGCTCTATTAATTTTCGAATATTTTTCTACTCACCTTATTTCTACACAAATAATTTAAATACTACATGACAGGCACTGTATTAAGCACATTACATTTAGTATTCATAGTATTTCCTTTAATTTTCTCAGCATGACTGAAGTATTTCAATTATCTGTGTTCAATAGTGTATTGGTGTACAATTGCTGTGTAACAAATTATAACAAACTC